CTAACGTGGGATTTACAACTAAATCTGTCACCAAAGCCAGATTCAAGATAAGAAGTTGCACAGACATGCTGTGGGATCCTTTCAGTGGCCCTTACCACCGGTTTTTCTCCTTTCTCCCTGAGTTGTTCCCCAACCTCACCACCCACTTCTTATCTCCTTTGTTCCTAAATGACAACCTGGCTATACATGGACTCTTGTAGAAGCAATAGGTGCAAGGACGTTCCCCTGAGGTTGCTAGTGACTAGCTTTCAGAACACTGTTTTGGTTATCTAGTGAAGCTGTAACAGAAGATACCACAGGTGGGTGGGTGGTTTTAACAAACAGTTTATTCTCTTACAGTTTTGGAGGCTAGAAGTCCAAGTTCAAAGTTCCAAGCTCTAGGGACTGGGTAAAAGCCCCATGACCTTGGGCTTTAGCTCTGCCTCATTCTCCCAGCCCACTAGAGCTAGAGGTGTCTGTTTACTTAAGTACCTGCTGGCTACTGAGGCTAACAAGCCCAAGGTCAACAAGTAAAATGGCACAGTCCCAATATTACCAAACAACAACTACTAGTTCAAGTCCAGAGATAATCCCTAGATCAGCAGGAAACATGGCAGGCTGCTAAATGAAGATTCGGCTACATGCAGGGTTCAAGCCTGCTAAAAGCTCAAGACCTTCCTCAAAGTTGCTTCTTATATACTGGAAGCAGCCCATATCCCTAAAACAGTTACGCAGCGGCTCTAGTAGATTCCACCATAGAGTTAATTACCAATTTCACCATGGGGACTATCTACATCCAGCTGCCTAGCCACTCAAGACCAGGACCAGCCAAGATGACACATAACCATACCATCCAAACATAACTTTCTGGAAAAAAAAAAAAAAAAAAAGGTACTTCCACTTTACAGTGAGCAGGGAGGGCACTTCATAAAACTGACTGAGCCCTAGGTTCATTTGAACTGGTTAACAAATACAGCTTATTTGGGCCCCACTCCAGCCTTGGAGATAGGCTCGCATTTCCAACCACTCCTTGGCTGCCAGTTGCACAGGTAGGTTGGGGATGTTATGTCAGCAAATTACAATAGCCCAGTGAAGTGGGGGTCACTCTCATCATCTAATTCACAGTACAGATGCAGAGCTACAGGCAGCCAGGGTTGTAAGAGGGAACATGATGGAAACGGACAAGAAGGGCCTCCTGGACAGAGTCATGGAATTGGATCCATTTACATCACCTCTGAGCCTCAATTTCTTCATTTGAATAATGGGCACCTTAACCCCATTACACAGTCAAGAGGTGTACTCCTCACCTCAAAGTGTTGTAAGAACCTGAGTCACAGCAAAGAACTGAAGCTAAGTACCTGAGTCACAGTCTGGCACTAGCTGGTCCTCAGTAAGCAATGGTCTTGATTTGAAGCCACATCATTAATGGCACTAATGGGCCTCAAACCCAAGCCTTTTTACTCCCATCTAAGGGTTCTTTCCCATGTGAGGAAGAGGAAATATCAGTCATTATAATACAATGTTAGCACATTTTAGCTGCAGAGGATCAGACTGAAATCTTTTAGAACTCTCTTAGGCCAAGGCCCATTCTTAAGTATTTCTGGCCAGCAATGAACAGACAGTGCCTGAACCACAATCAAGGGTGTGTGTATCTGTGTGGCCCCAATGCCTTTCATAAGCTAGAAATAGGTCAGAATACTGGGCAGATGCTTCTCTTATCCACACCCATCCAAGGAGTGATAATTTGCTTATGGACTAGGTTCTTGACTCAGATAGACATTGCCAGGGATGAGCTGGCTGGAAAGCTGATGGGGGAAAAGTTCCTGATAAAGAGACACACAGTGGGCACCCCCTCAAGGCCAGAGCTTCTCATAATCCCACTACCCTCTCGATAAGTATGTTAGGCCCAACCCAGTAATCTGGTTTATTTGGACTGAAACAGCATCTCCAACTTCATTTAAGGTTATTTTTAGTTTGATTTTCTCCTGAAGCAACTAAAACCTGAGCAAAGGAGATGATCTAAATATGCGTACAAGTCAGTGGGTATACTCTCTGCTGCTTCCCTTGTGCCTCATGGGAGTACTCCCCAGTTTGGTGATATTGGTAGCCTGAGTGGTATAGAGCCGGGTGTGGGGAAAGCTGTGCATTCCCTGCCTCGTACACTCTCGGCCACATCCAAAGAAACAAAACAAAACCAGTTACCACTGAGCTGATTCTCACTAGTAGCAAACCTATGGGTTTCACAGCTTACCTGTGCTCCAGAAAGTTTTTGATGGCTGTGATTCTTCACACGCAGATTACCAGGCTCTTTTCACAGCCACTTTGGCACCCAAACACAAAAATCCACTGCTCTCAAGTCAGACCCGACTCATAGCAACCCCTCCTTGGGTTTCGGAGGTGATATCACTAGGAAGCAGATTGCCCAACCTTCCTTCCGAGGAGTAGCTGGTGGGTTTGAACCACCAGCCTTCTGGTTAGCAGTCAAATGCCTTAGGCACTATGCTACCAGAGCTTTCCTTTGGCACCCAGGAAAAACTAAAACAAAACAAAAAAAAACCCAAACCCACTGCCATCAAATTGATTTTGATTCATAGTGACCTTATAGGACAGAATGAATCTATCCTATAGGGTTTCCAAGGCTGTAAAGCTCTACGGAAGTAGACTGTGTCATCTGTCTCCCATGGAACAGCTGTTTGGTTTGAATCACTGACCTTCTGGTTAACAGCTGAATGCCTTAACCATGGTACCAACAGAGCTCCCTTAGGAAAAACTAATTCCCCCATAAATGACACTGCTTCTCAGGAAATCTCGTCACCTAGTCTGCATATCTGGGTTTTGGATCTTGATACCCCCCCCACTTCTTTGTTGGAGCAACCTCTGTCTGTCTACACCTGAGCGTCTAAGTCTAGTTTTTCCATGGGCAGGCTGGGCTGGAAGTGGAATCATCATCAATCTTAACAGCCGTTTAATATAGTCAGATCATTCAAACTAATGACCTTTACCACACCAGTCCCCAGTGGTTGCCCACCAAACAAAAAATCTGTTGCTGTCATGTCAATTCTGACTCATAGCCTATAGAGATGTCCTTAGGGTTTCCAAGACAGTGATCTTTATAGAAGCAGACTGTCATATCTTTCTACGATAGTGTGGCCTGTGGGTTCAAACTGCCAAACTTTCAGTTAGCAGCTGAGTGCTTAATCACTGTGACCTATGATCAAATTCCATACTTTTCAACTTGATTGTCAAGACTTTCCACTCCCTAGTCCCTTTTTCAAAGAGCTCTAGTGGTATAGTGGGTAAGACATTTGGCTCTAACCATAAAGGTGAAACTCACCAGCTGCTCCATGGGAGGAAGATGAAGCGATCTACTTTTGTAAATATTTACAGCCTTGGAAACTCAATGGGGGTCACTATGAGTGGGAATTAACTCAATGGCAGCGGGTTTAGTCCCTTTTTACGTATTACTGAGAGTATGCCTGCAAGGCCAGCTTGGGTGGTACAGCGAGAAGGGTACAGGCTTCTGAACCAGAAGTCTACATTAAATGTTGGCTTTTAACTTATTTACTAGCTAAGTGATCTTGCGTAAGTTACTTTTACTCTCAGCCTCACTGTTCTCCTGGGTGAGGAGAACTGTCAAAGATTAGGGCACAGGATTTGGATAGAAGACAGTGTGGCCTCAAGGGCTTCTCCTTAATTCCTCAGACACTGCCTCCTCATCTGGAAATAAAACCATCCCTTCTTGTAGGACTGCACAAGGGTATTTGTTAAGTAATAATAATAATAATAATAATAGGAGTGTTTGTTAAGTAAGGCCTTGACATGTCTCTCTCTTCCTTCTCATCTTTCAACCTTTTATCTCCCAGGATCAAGCTCAGCCTTTTTTCCTCTGCAGCCTCCAACCTTTGCCACTGTGCCCCTCTCCCCTGCAACCTGATCTCCCTCCTCCCTGCTGAGCACATAGTTCCCTCAATCACATTTATCCTCCCAGCTGCTGTGGTCAAGCTTCATAGGGATGCTGGGCTTGCCCCATGCCAGACCATACTCTGTTCCTGGCTGGGGCCTCGACCATCTGTTTATCTGCGCTGGAACCAGGGACTGGCTGAACCTCGAGACAAACCTAAACATTCATTCTACCCCGCCTTCCTCAGAGGCCAGCAGTGCACTACCAGCTGTTAAGATCAATGATGCCTCCAATTCTGGACCAGTCTGCCCATGGAAAACTAGACTTAGAAGCTCAGGTGTAGATAGAGAGAAGTTGCTCCATCAAAAAAAAGAGGTGTGTGAAGATCCAAAACAGGAGTTAATAGAAAGTACTTGCAGACTGAAGTTTCAGCCAGCTCACCAAATCTTCTTCAGTGCAGCTGGATTAGGAAGGATTAAAAGGAGAGGAAGACCACTTCTATAACCCTTTTCTGCTCCATCACAAAGAGGTGAGCTTACTTCAGGCCTATGGACAGGGTAGGATAGCCTGCCTCACAATCAAGTGAGTAGAAAAACCAAACCAAACCAGTTGCCATTAAGTTGATTCCAACTCATGGTAGCCCCAACTGTGGAGAGTAGACCTTTTGGAAACAGATTGCCAGGCCTTCCTCCAGATTGCAAGGCAGTTCTAGGTGGACTTGACCTGCCAACATTTCAGCTACTAGCCTAAACAGGGCTTAATGATTTGTGCCACAAAGGGACTCCTCAGTTGAGTGGAGTGGAGGTTAAGTTGAAACAATGTCAGATGAAATTTTTAGAAAAAGGAAGTGAGATTGGAACAGAGTAAATTATTTCAAGAACCCAGACCACCAAAAACTTGAAATAACAAATTCACTTTTAATTGATATACAAGTAAAAACTACACAGCCCAAGTCAGTAACCATTTCTGCTCCTAATCTGTTGGAGCCTTATCTTGGAAAGCTCAAGAAACTGGGTTAACCGGTTATATTCATTGCTTAACTTCAACTGCAGTATTAGAAAAAAACAAGGAGTTTTATCTGTTTAGATCTAATGCTTGGCTGACATCCACATTCAGTCCCTTATATTCCATATTTTTTCTTTAGCTCTTCTACTTTGTCAATATAAGCTTTCATGGCGTCTTCCTTGGAGGTTCCTGTAAGGAAGTAACAGGATTAATTGTCAGGGAGGCAACATGGTGCAAAACCAGGCTTTGATGCCCTAGACAGACATGACTAAACTTAGCCTCAGTCTCTCCTCTGTAAAATGGATATTCTAGTGCATACACCTCAGAGACCTGGCAAGGATTAGACTTGAGGCTGAAGAACTTCCCCAGAGTAAATATGCCATAAAGCACTGAGACCGTAATTCACAGCGTCAGAGAGGCCCTGTGTTGAGTCATGTGTGACCATGTGGGAGTGGTCAGCATGAGCCTCAGGAGAAAGGAGTTCCAGCCAGGCAGGAACATTTAATATTGGGAGTCCTGCTGGCTTTGCTGGTCCTGGTGACTCATAGTTGGCTATGGTCTATCAAGTATTTCTGTGTTGGGCTCTCATCTCCCAAAGCTGCTCAGCTAGCAGCAAGAAGCCAGGCACCCTCTTCTCCTTAGAGAGAAGTTATGAGGAAAGTTTTGAGAACTCTGAGAAAAAGCTGCTGGTTCTTGAAAGGGAGTAAGGCAAATCTGTATTTTCTTGCTGCAATACAAAGGGCACTGTCTACATATCTGAAGACAGAAAAACCCAGTTCTTGAATTCTATGAGAAGGAGATGCTATGGAACTGGAGCTTGATCTGCAGCACAGCAGAATACAGAGGGCCTAAAGATGGTATGGAAGTGCCCACTGAAAACTGACATCAGGCAGGCATTCTTCTCCCAGTAACTTGCAAATCCTGGGAGTGCATTTATTATATTCTGGCCCTTTCTGAATTCAAGGGTTTCTCATTTTCAGGAAGACAGAAGGCTTATTCAGAGTCTAGCTAGTGAGAACACAAAAGCTGACTGGCACTTTGGTGCCAACTTTTGGGTCTTGCTGCCACAGGTGGCACGTGACTGAGCAGAAGCTGGGCTACTTCTTGGCTGCTATTGCTTAGCATATAATGATTTTCATTCACACTGAGCCTTAGCATGTGCCAGCAGCTTGCCATGTATTAGCTCATTCCTTCTTTTATATGCCCTTGTGGCTGGGTCACCTTCTGGCCTCATGGGGAACAGTGATGGGGGCAGGAAACCACCTCTTACTCTGAACATGTCCAAAGCCCACCATAACCATATCACCTCCCATCCTGTTTTTCAGTGGTCTCTGGTCCCTGGACCCCTGCTCCAGCTGATACCACTGCTCAGGGATGGTGTTTTAGAAAAGGCAGTAACAGTAGAAGAAAAGTAGGTGGCCCAGTTTTTTTCCATTCTTGGCACAAGTCAATCTGGTTTCTAGCCTGTGCCTCATCTGATTTGTTTTCTCCTCGTACCTTGTGCATTCCATAATTAAGAGTCTTTCATTACTGAGATTCACAAAGCAAGGGAAACTGACTACAACAGATAATTACCTTTTAGTTCATTCCAGGCATCCCACTTGGCCTTGCCTTTGAAGTCCAATATCCCAGGTCGTTCTTAAAGAAGGAAAGGAAAAACATTAGATGTGCTTCAAGTTCTAACAGAGAACTTCAACAACTTTCTTGTCTTGAAAGACTTTTTTTTTAAAAAAAAGTTATTATAAAAAAATATTAAAAACATGAAAAAAAAAAAAGAATTATTCCCATGTACTCATTAACCAGCTTCAATGATTATGAACTCACAAATGGTCTTGTTTGGTCTATATCTCCACCCATTTCTCCCCCATACTTAAATATTCCATATATATTTATTAAATAACTCTTAAAAAATATAAACGTAATATCATTATCACGCCCCAAATATCAAACAATTAAAATTTACAGTTGGTTAGCTAGGATCAGGATCCAATCTGGTTGGTATCAAGTCTGTCCCTCGATCCATCCTTGTAGAGACTGTAGTCCCCAACCCATCTTTTTTAAATCGAGTGATATTTTAAACTAGAAATTGTTCTGACATTTCTTCAGCTTCAGTTAGAACTGGTATGTGTGGGCAAGTAGCCTCTCGCTAGTTTCGGCCTCTTCCTCTCACTGTGGTTGGAAGATCCCAGCCCTCAACAGCCCTGGGAAGTGAGTAGCTGCAGACACCACTGTGTTTCCAATTGATACAGGGCTTGGTCAGTGCCTGTGACCTGGCTGGCAAGGCATTGGAGAGGGGAGCACTGCCTTCCAAACATAGGGTCGGGGGAGAGGACAGGAATCTCAGAAGTGGGTTCTGTGACTTGGAACCCTATGAAAGGCTTGGAGATGAGTAGGGGCTGAAAGCACTGTGAGGAAGGTAGCTGCTAGAGGCTTTCAAAAACAGGGTGAGGTGGGGAGCCTGGATGACTACAAAGTAGTTGATTCTCTGGGGCCACCTCTGGGTTTCTGGTGAGGGCAGGGAGGCTGGGCTGGGCTGTTAGAATCACACACAAGTGCCCAGGGTCTGGTTCACTGTCTGTCAGAAGGGAGAAAAGTTTGAATTATTCCTATTTCTAAGTTTATACATGGAAGGAAACTTTCTTTGTTGGTTACCAGGGATGGGTGGGGAGGGGAAGCTAAATTCCCAGATAAGTTTGGAAAAACTTAAATATGTAAAAATATAAATATGTAGAAACCAAAGATTAGTAGTTACTAGGTAGGAGGGAAGGAGAAAGGGGAATCTTTGGTTTGTAGGGTATTGAGTTTACGCTAATGGCAGTGGAATATTTTGGAAAAGGATAGCAATAGTGATGATACAACATGAGAGATGTCATCAATGTCCCTGAGCTATAAATGGGGAAGTTGTTATGTTGGTGAAAGTCTTGTTGTATATGTTTTCACCAGGATAAAAGAAAAAAAAGTATACCTATTCCTCTAGGCTCTGTCATGGAGTTAAACTGGTCGAGTACACTAGGTTCTTCTTTAAGAAACCCCAAACAAAACCAAACAAGTTGCCACTGAATCCATTCCAAATCATTGTGACCCCATGTACTCCACAGGATTTCATGGTTATAACCAGGCCTTTCTTCTGAGGCGCCTCTAGGTAGATGAACCACCAATCTTTCAGTCAGCAGTCACCTACTTAATTATTTGTGCCACCCAAGAATTTCTTTAAGAAACCCAGATGTACAAAAATCCAAATTTAAAATGTAGAGAAATTAGGAGGAAAACTGTTTTCATTACAAGACAGTCCTTATATTACAAATTAAGTAACTCTAAAATTTCTCCATTAAATGTTTTTAATTTAAGTTTTTAAACCAGGTAGTATATTCACACGGTTCAAAATTCAACAGCTAAAAAGGATAATAACATTAACCTTTCCTCTCACCCTTGCTCTCAGCTACCCAGTTTGTCTCCACAATGTCTAAGTGTTACCAGTTTTCTAGGTGTTCTTCTCTGTGAACTGTCTGTCCATATCTTTGCCTTATTGTTAGTCTATTTATTATTGATTTGCGGGAATTACTACTAAATGCAAAGTTTCTTTATATTATACTATGATTCTATACTTACAGACCTGAAACCCATTGGTAACATATCTATACCTGGGAAGCTCATACATACTACTTTCTTGCTGACCTATTTCAATGCCAGAATGAGCACAAAACAAAAGGGGGCATTCACAGTACTTTCATATGCCCAGACTACTGTGTCTGAGAAAAATCCAGTCTCTCATCCTGTCAGGGAAGCACTGCCAGGGACATCTGGAAACAATTGCACGTGCAGAGTCATCATCAGAACCCTGGAACAGCACTCTTCAATTGCCTTCATGGCAACAACACGAATGTTTCACATTTGCGTTACCCAATTCTGTAACCATTTGCCATATGTGGCTATTGAGCACCTAAAGCATGGCTAGTGTGACTGAGGGCTCAACTATTGATATTACTTCATTTGAACTATATTCAGTTTAAATTTCAGAAGTCACATGTGGCTAAAAACCAAACAAACTCACTGCCATCAAGTTGATTCTGACTCATAGTGACCCTCACTGGGTTTCTGAGGTGGTAAATCTTTATGAAAGTAGATTGCCCAGTCTTCCTTCTGTGGAGTGGCTGGTGGGTTTGAATCACCAACCTTCTGGTTAGTAGTCAAGTGCCTTAGGCACTGTGCCACCAGAGTTCCTTAATCAGGGTAGATTCCCAAGTTGGATTACCTATGCTCATGGGAAGCAGGCAGCCCTATCATAGAGGCCTGTTGTTTGAAACACTTGAGGCAGAAAAGCATCTCATCTCCTCCTACAAAACCCTTCTAACTCCCTTTTCCCTCCCTGGGAGCATATAGCGTTTATAAAGAGAATGTAAAACTCACCTTTGCTACAAGATTTTTCTCAACTAAGGCCTCCCTGTAAATACTAGTGGTGATTTGCTATTGCCTGTCACCCTTAGCTCTGGGCACCATGTCTTGCTTCCAGCTGGCCAGCATCCAGCCCACCTGCCCCAATCGCAGTGAAACTGGGGCCACACCTGCCTTCCTTCTGAAGGCGGTGGGACTCCTACTTTGCCATGATGGTTAACTCTGAGTCCCTGAAAGAAGGTGTTGCTGCTGTTGCTTCAGCCTGCACCCAAGTTTCATGGACTTCAGGACAGAATGAAAACTGACTGACACAGTGAAGATAGTATTTCAGTCTCAAAATCTATAGTAAGATTTCTGGATAGGGAACAAATGGTCCTCAAGAAGGTAGATTGTTATCAGCAAAAATGTTCTGACCTGCCCCAAGAAGCCAGCTGCCAAGTGCTCCAACATTTATTTTGGTCATGTAGGGGCGGAACTTCGTAGTGATACTGCCTAGGAAACTCCCAAGGAGGGGTCGCTATGAGTCAGGTATGACTCGACGGCACATAACAACAACAACAAAGTAGGATTTGAATTCTGCCACCTGAGCCACCAAGAACAGGGCAGGGTTTATGAACTCTGCATGGGGACATGGTCTTTAGACAATTTCTCTCATGTTAAACTCTAGGAATCCCATGCAGAGCCATCTTTGAGTCATTTTGAGACTGAGGTTCCCACAGATTTAAGGGTTGCAGCACCTACTCAAGGCTGCTGAGCCAGCTGGCAAGAGTCCGCTTTGATGAGCTGGGGCCCCCCCAACTAATCTCATCATACCTGTGTTTATGTCACCCACTGTGACTTGCTTGTAGCGGCTGTAGATGAACAACATCTCATCGTCAGCTGGTTTGGTCTTGAGGTGCTTAACATCTTCTGCAGCTTTGTCAAACTCGGCCTAAATGTGAGGGAGAGGAGAGGAATGAAGGCCTCCTTAGGGAGTTGAAGGACAGGTGTCCTCTCTGGTGGAGAAGTCAGAAAGGCACAACTTCGTCAGCAATGCAGGTCCCCACTTAAGTGCCCCCTCCACCCCAGGGCATAGATAAAGATTCAGCACACTCTGGGGAAGCACACCATGCACTCATTCAATCCAGACAACTATGTATGGGGGTCCTCACTATATGGGGGCCCTCACTATAGCGGGCAACAGGTGCTGGATGTGAAAGAGGCAGGCTAAGATTTTGCTCTCAGTGGCTGTACACTTGGCAGGAAAGACAGCGGCAGCGTGGCCAACTGCAGTACCACTACAGGGTAATGGCCGGGGTCTCAGTGAAGACCCTATCCGTTGGTGAGGGTGTGACAGCGTGTTCAAAACAGCTGAGAAGGGGCAGGGCATGAGTGCAGTGCTGCCAGCGGCTGGAGCCAGTCCGGGACGTTCAGTGCCGACCTATGTCCCTGTGTCCAGACTGGAGAGAAATGGGAGGAACCAGAGATCACCCCACATGGCGCGATCCTTGATAAGCCTCTACATTCAAGGGAAAAGAAAGACCTCTGGGTCACCTCACCCCGGGTCGCATTATCTGCCCTCCGAACGTCAAGCAATCAGTTCCAACTTCTGACCTCCAAGCGCCCCGCCACGGCTTCCCCGCTTCACCCTCCTGCCATCTTGCCGTGGTTGTGCCTTGTCTTCTCGGGTGGTGGACCAGATCCCTTATTCCTCCGATCTATGCAACCACCCACCTCTTATCTTTCTTCCTAGCACCCTCGTCTCCGACCGCTATACCAACGGGGAACTTTCCAGCAACTGCGGATGGGTACCGGTGTTGGGAATTCAAAACAGGAAGTTTAGCTCACAAGGCACGCTATTAGGGTCAGAGTTGGGCAGGGGTCCAGGAAGAACTGCGCGGTGTGGGAGGGAAAAGTTGCCTGGTTCAGCCTGTGGATGATTCCCAAACTAGCCTCCCGCTCCACCGCTCCTTCTTAGATTCGTTGGACACTCGTTGTACCTGAGACATGCCGGCGACGAGGCAAGGATTCCAGAGAGTCCACGGAGGAAACGCGAAGGAAGCGACAGCTCAAAACCACACCAGCAGCGATTTTAGCAGTGCTGCCCAGCGCTTTCCAACTCTGCTGGGGCGAGCGTGAAGCAGCCAATCAAGGGAGAGCTTTTCGCCGGGGGCGTGCTCAGTTACCTCCACGGGTATTTGCCCCACTGTGCCCAATTTGGGCCGGCCCGCGCACGCGCAAGAGGGAGCGGAAGGGATCTCCGAGAGCTGGTGGAGACCGCGGAAGTACGGCGCCTCAAACTGTGAGGGCAGGGTTGTCGGGAGGAGGGTTCAGGCTTGGACAGCCATGGAGGAGTGGGGGAACCAGTTGAAGCAAGGTGGAGGAGGTGGAGTCCGAAGAACAGAGAATTTTAAGTCGTTTAATTAAATCTCGTGCCCAATGTGAGGGGACCGGAAGTTAAATTTCTCTCCAAAGGCTTCTGAAAAGAGCTGTGGTGCATAGGAAGTTGGATTGGTCTGTAGAAAGGCGAAGGCTGAGACCCCTTGTGAATTCTTGGGGCGTTATTAACCGTGCTTGTGGCCTTAGTTTTCAGTCGTGTTCTGCACATTCGTATGTCTGGTGCATTTTCCAAGCTTGGCCCGGAACATGTGCTCAGTAAGCATGTGTTTAATAGATGACTTTTATGTACAAATGTTTATTGAACTTTCGTCAGGTTAACACTCACTCTAGACCTTGGGGATGCAGTAGTGAAACAAACGTATAAACCCCTCCCTTCATGGAACTTAGAGTGGGTATAATAGTAATAAAATAAGTTAGTTTGTTGGGGGGGATAGAGAGTTGGCAGTTTACCGTTTTAAATGGGAGGGTCATGAACGTTTGAGAAAGCCCCTGAAGGAGGGGAAGGAGAATTCCAGGCAGAGAAATGGTGTAAAAGGTGTGAGCAGCAAGTGTGGGAAAGAGTTGAAAGAAGCGATCTGACAGTGATAGGTGGCAGGCTGGCCAGATGATGCAGAACTTTTAGGATGTTGTAAGGCATTATTCTTTCACTCTAAGATACAATTCTGAGATTCTCATCAGAGGGTTTTGCATAGAGGATTATGAGACTGAGAAAGTCTTTGCAAGGTTGTTTCATAGTCTAATGTTTTCCATTGGAGCAGAAGGAAGCAACACAGGTGGATGGAAGAGTTTGAGGGTGATTTTTTTTTTTTTTAATTTTATTGTGATTTGCATGAAAGTTTACAGAACAAATTCCTTTTCCATACAGCAGTTCACATATACTTTGTCTCATGTCGCTGACTGTAAGCTCCCACAATGCAACAGCTCTCCTCTCACTTCCTTCCCATAGCCACCTCTTCTCTGTGTCTTTCCCTCCCATGGACTCCTGCCCCCTGAGCTATCTCCCTGTGCATACATAGCTCTTCTATTCTCCCATGATTGATCTCTCCAAGGAGTGTATCTATCTATGTAAATACATATGCTACCTATGTAGCTCATGTGCCTGTCTTTTGTTTGTCTGGAAGCCACAGGAGTGGGTTCAATTCCAGACCTGAAGGGCAGGTAGGGGCCATAGTCTCAGGAGTTCTACCAGGCTCTATCAGACCAGCAAACCTGGTCCCTTTGTTTTTTATGATTTTGAATTTTGTTCCACATTTTTCTCCCACTCTGCCTAGGATCTCCTATATAGATCCTCCTCCAAGTGTTTGACAGTGGTGGCCGGGCACCATCTTGTTCTTCTGGTCTCATAGTTGTATAGGCTGAGGATTACATGGTGTTCCAGTCACTTGGACTAATTGTTTCCATGCATCTTTTGTTTTCTTTATTCGTCTTTGCTCTGGATCAGGAGAGACACATGGTTGCATCTAGATGGCTGCTTGCAAGCTTTTAAGATCCCAGTGGCTACTGACCAAAGTAGGATGTGGGACAATGTTTTTGTGTAGTATGTTGTGCCAATTGAGCTTGATGTCCCCTGTGACCATGGTCCCAAGCCCATAGGTCCAACTACTTGCTCCCTCTGGATAGCTGGTTGTGGCCAAGAAGTGACTACAACTTTCTCCCTTGCCAGCTCTACTGTGTACCTGGAAATTCTTATAGAACATACACATATACTTGTGGAAACATTGTCTACAAACCCTATACATGGTCATGGGCACATTCCCCCTGCATAGACATATCTAATCATTCAGCCTGTCCACCCATCTACCCACCTGTATATCCATGTTTGCCATCATTGACAGTGCAGTACTGTGTGTGCAGAAGGGTTCATCTTTGTTGTCTGTGCTTCCCATGCACCTTTCTATGTTTCTTCCTCAGTGCCACCGTGTTGACCACTTACATTTGGTACATTGCCCTTCTCTTCACCCAAATCAGTACTTGTCTCTACCTATCTAGCAGTGTTCTCTCCCCCCTCCCACTCCTGGTAACCGACAAAGAAAATTTCCTTCCATATATAAACCTTTCCTTGACTTTTTAACAATAATAGACTAATACAATATTTGTCTTTCTTTTTTTTTAAATTGTGATTTGGGTGAAAATTTACAGAGCAAATTCACTTTCCATACAGCAGTTCACATACACTCTGTCTCAAGACATTGACCACAGTTTACCACAATGCAGCAGCTCCCCTCCCACTTCCTCTCCATAGTTACCTCTTCCCTCCATGCACTCCTGCCCACTGAGTCCATCCCTCCATGCACTCCAGTGTCCATCCCTCCATGCACTCCTGCCCACTGAGCTGTCTCCCTGTGCATAAGCAGCCCTTCTTTCTCCCATGATTGTTGTCTCCAAGGAGTGTATCTATGTCAGGTAAATGTTCAACTCATATGCCTGTCTTTTGTTTGGCTGGAAACCACAGGTGTGGGTTCAATTCCAGACCTGAAGG